GTCGGTTCGTGTTGCGAGTGCGCTGCGCCACTTACCTGCTCGGGTGAAAGCTGTATAGACTGTGATTTTTGTGCTGAAATCACATTGAGCCCATCGAGGCCGGGTAGATCTTGTGGGTCGGTGCCGTCTGGCAAAGCGGCCACTGCAGACTTCTGTGACGCATAGCCATCGTAGTCGTGATCGATGTCGTTACCCGACTGCGGTAATCCGTAGCTATCTGCTGGCTCTTGTTCGAGGAATTGCGTATGCTGCTCGGCCACAGGAATGCTTTGTGAAATGGCGTTGTATGCATTTGATGAAGTGCTAGAGATTGAGTTGGAGGCCGAATATTGTTGTGCATGCTGCTGCTGGAATTGCTGTTGCTGCTGCTGGTACTGGTTTTGTTGCTGCAATTGATAGCCTGCGCCGACTAGATTTGGCCCTTGGCCGCAATCGTGCACTTGTGCGAAGCGGGGTTCTTGCAGTAGTGGCAAGCCTTGCGCATGAATGAACTGTTCGTTTTGCTGCGAAGAGGCATAGGCGCTTTCGAAGTTAGAGCCTGAAGCGGCACTATTTTGCTGTTCGAATGTCACTGGGCCAGTTTGAGGAGGGGGTAGGTATTGTTGGGATGGTGGTGGTGGGAAGGGACGACCATGTTGTTGTTGCTCTTGCTGTGGTGGTGGTGGTGGTGGTGGAGGCCGATACTGTTGCTGTGGTGGAGGTGGTGACAAGGGTGGGCCGTATTGGTTCAGTGAGTTGCCATGTTGTTCCTGCAAAGGTGGTAAAAATTGAAATTGAGCTTGCGGTGGGGGTGGTGGAAGTAATGGCGGAAATTGCTGTAATGAGCCTTGCTGTTGTTGGAACTGATGTTGTTGTTGTTGTAGATGGTGGAAGTGTTGTGTGTTTTGTGCGTGACTTTGTTGTTGTTGTTGCTGATTTACCTGTGCGAAGACCCGAGGCGGTTGCTGTTGCGGCAACTGTTGCTCAATCACGCCGAGAGGAATGTTTACTTGCGCAGGCGGTGGAGGCGGCGCATAATCAGGACCAAGATTACCAGACCCATGTTCGGCAATTTCATTAGCAGCGGGTGGAATGTATGTGGGTGACTGGGTAGGTGGTTTCACTCCAAACTGATCCAAATGCTGTACTGTGGCGCCAATCGACTCGAGTAGACCCTGAGGCACGGGCGGACGGAAGGCCACCGGACGGCTGGGTTGCGAAGCACCGTGCGTTGGAACATTAAGTACATTACCAGACTGTGATCCATATTGGAGGCCAACGTGGGATGAGGAGGAAGAGGACGATGAGGAATGCTGTTCTTGTACAAAACGACCGCCAGAAGCTTGTGGCGGTGGTGGACCATAATTATCACTGGGTAGTGGTGGCGGTCCGTAATTTCCACTTGGAGCCGGCAAATAGTTACCGCTGGGTGGTGGACCATAGCTGTTCACTGGCGAAGGTGGGCCATAATTACCACTGGGTGGAGGTGGTGCGCCATTACCACCAATGCTGTTGTATTTCTGCGCATGAATTGAGCCGGGAGCGAAGGAGTCTAGCGGTGGTTTGCTGTACGAATCATCACCGACGCCAAGAGAAACCTGTGGAGAAATACAAAATTGATGCAAATATTTCTTGGAACGTAGGATTAGAAATTTTCTGCGCTTACCTGTAGTGCGTCAGTTTCAATTGAATTGATGTTTTGTTGCTTAAAGTCACCTGCTGGCCCAGATGGTGGGAGCTCAGGGCCGCGTATGTGTGTACCGAAGTCACCCGATTGTAGTGCTACGGCAACCAGTTGTGCATCCGTCAGTCCATCAAGAACGTTGCCACCACTGCCAGTTGCACCGACACCTCCGCCAGATACACCTGCCCCACCACTATACTGTGTACCGAAGTTACTCTGAGCGACTTGACTATAACCGGATTGAGTGTCGATGTTGTTGCCCTCTACGTAGGAGCCAGATGGTGCCGGTATGGGCTTCCAGCCATCGCATGCAGTGTGAAAGGGAGCTTGTGAGCCACTCACGCTGTGCGTATGACCTGACGCGTCGATTTGGATTTGTACTTGTTTAACTGGACCGCCGCCACCGCCGCCGCCACCGCCGCCTCCAATAATGCCACCGCCACCTTGACCGCCAGAAGAACCGCCTCCACTTGTTAGTATAATCGTGGTTTCGGGCACTCTATTGAAATTAGCAGGTGCTGGTCCGGGACCAGTTATTCCTAAAGGCAAAGGCGGTGGACCATAAGAGGGCTTGGGTGGACCATAGACGGGTTTTGGCGGCAAATTGAGCGGGCCAGAAGGTGGTGGCCCATAAGAGCTGGCCGGAGAATGCTCTGGCTTAAATAATGGTGCAGGGAATGTCGATGGTAGCGACTGTGGCGGCGGGCCATAACTTGGACGTGGCGGTG